GAAATGGTATATAAAGCTTTATTTTTCTTGTTTTTAAAGATGAGTCAAATTAGCTACAAAGTTAACTGCACACATAAATCGTCAGTAACCAATGTTTGATTAGAGCACCTAACTGCAGGCAGAGCGTTAATTTTTCTTGATTTAATATGGGACCAGTGTTTGCAAGTTCTTCTTGTTCCATCTTAAGTCGGGTGCCACGTGAGCAGAGACTGCTACAGTAGCTTTAGATACATTGCTGCGCCCTTGCCCAAGCTCGTCTCGTTGAAGTACAACTTACAGAAGAGCATGACTTATTAGAAAACCTTTTCTTTTTTTAATTCCTCATCTTACAGATGTCATAGCATTCTATAATTCAAATTGTTCAAGCATCATAGTACAATTACTACTACAATCAGTTTCAAAACATTTTCTTTCTTCTTGAACTCTTTGATATCAGTTCCCCTTTATCCCCTCCCTCCTCTACCCTTTTCCCCAGGCACCCTTGTTGTTGTTACATATTATTATTAATATTCTATTCTATATTTTTTATAGAATATTACAGCTGTTATTCGCCCCCCCCAGTGAAGTTATACAATTATCATTGCTATCAGCTCCCCTTTCTCCCCACCCCCCATCCCCTGTCTTCTCATATCCTCAAGGAATCATTACTCCTGTTGCTGCATCTGTGCAGTCGTAGGTCTAACAATAGTCACTGTATTTGTTGTTGGGTGTTATCGTTTCTGACTCAGCGATCCCTTGTGGCAGAGAACTGTTGCACAGGGCTTTCTTGGCTCTAATCTTCAAGACAGCTGATTTCCACCTTTCTCCTCCGGTGAACAAGGCCTCACGATACTGTCCAGTCAGCAGAGTAGTCATCGGCAACCCACTTTCTATATCCACTCCTGGCACCCCATAAAGTTGTTGTTTTTTTTCCGGGGAGGGGGGCTGCATAAAACTTTATCACCTTTTAGCACACTATAAAATTTACTTAATTATTAACCCAGTCACTAAAAGTAAGGTGATTGGAGGCAGGTATTTTTATGTTTTGTTCTGTGGTGTAACAGTAGTTGATGCTTCTTGGCATGGCTGTTTTCTGTGCGGCTCAGACAGAGGCAAACTCTTCTCTGTACTTCTGTTCTTTTTGGCTAAATCTTATTATCCTTTCAGCAACGAAAGCAAACAGCAGCCAACTCAAGCTTTAAGGGCAACACACCATTCATCTCTCTATTTATGCCTTTAGATGCCATTCATCACCAACTAAAGATGCTAAACATACCAAATGCTGCAAGGGGCCAGGAGTCAACTCTGCCTCATGCGCGCAACAGAACAAAGTACTGCCCTACCCTGCGCTGTCCTCACAATAGCTTCTACATGCCTCCATTGTCGTAGCCACCGTGTCAATCCTTCATGTTGAGGGTCTTCTTTTTCCCTACCCCTCTACAAAGCATGGCCTTCCCCAGAAACAGTCCCTTCTGATAACAAGTCCACAGTATGTGAGAGGAGGTCTTGCTCATCGCTTCTAACATTCTCCTTGCGTTTCCCAGACATATTTGTTCCATTTCGTAAAAGCAGCCATTCTTCTGTCTTCCTTATCTCAGTGTCTAGCTTTCACATGCATCTGAGGCAATGAAAATACCAGGGCTTGGGTCAGGTACAACTTTGTCCTCAAGGTGATACCTTTCCTTTCTTAACGCGTTCAAGTTTGCAGACGTTTGCAGTGCAATTTGCTTTCTGACTGGTGCTTCTATGTGTGTTGATTGTGGATGGGAACAGGTTGTAAACATCCACGTTTTCTCCTTCATGACGTTGCTTATTCAGTTGTGAGGGCTCCCATTTCTTTAAGTTAAAGTGTCATCCATATTGAAGACTGTACTCTGATCTTCATCAGTAAGTGCTTGAAGTCCTCCTCTTCACCGTCAGGTAACAAGGTTGGCATCCGCATATGGCAAGTTGTTAATGACTCCTCTAATCCGGATGCAGCGTTCTTCATATAACCCAGTTGCTCAGATTATTTGCTCAGCACAGATTGAATATGATAAAGATACAACCTTGACACACACTTTTCCCAATCTTGAACCAGGTAATAACCCCTTGTACTGTTCCGATAACTGCCTTTTGGCCGATGCATAGGCTGCACGTGAGCAGTGAAATGACCCATGTATCACTTTGTCATACTGAGTTGACTAGCACACTACTGTGATGCTGGAAGTTAGGCCACAGGTATTTCACATGCCAGCAGGGCCACCCATGGTGGACGGGTTTCAGCAGCTTCCAGATTGAGACTGGGAAATGTATATTCACCTACACTAAGTCATGTGAGTTGGAATCAAGGACAACCAACATACTGAAAGTCACTCAACATTACAATAGATTTCATTCAGGGATGATTCAGGCATACTACTAACGTCATTATGGTACCCTAGTGGAATCGTGGTTAAGCATTAGTTCACCTCGAGGTCAGCAGTTAGAAACCACCAGCCAGCTCAAAGGGAGAAAGATGAGGGTTTCTACTCAGAGACCCACAGGGGCAGTTTTACCCTCTCCTATAGGTTTGCCCTGAGTCAGAAGTGACTCAATGGCAGTGAGTTTGGAATGACGCCGTGAGCCCTGGTGCCACAGTGGTTCTGCGTTGGGCTGAGACCCTCACGGTCTGAAATTAAAAAAAACCGCCATAGCTTTGAGGCAGAAAGACAAGGCTGTCTACTCCTGTTAGCAGTCTCAGAAACTCATGAGGCAGTTCTAGTCTGTCCTACAGGGTCACTAAGAGTTGGCATTGACTTTTTGGCAGTGAGTGATGCAACAGGTAAGCACTCAGTTATTTACTGAAAGGTTGGCTGTTTGAACCCAGCCAGCATCTCTGATGGGGCACAGAAAACCCTGACGCAGTTTTATTTTTGTCCATGGGATCACTGAAAATCGATTTGAGTCCTTAACAGCAACTAACATAACTGTATTAACTGGATGGTATTTTAGCAGAAGTGAACACAATCCTACACAGGCAGTTTTAAGAATCTGAATTCCTTCATCAGCATCTAAAAGTTTATTTTACTCTTGCATTCATCTTCAATCCACTCCTCCAAGTCATTAGTCAGGCACCTTTCTTGAAGGTCAGAAATGTTTTCCCCACTGCTTGCACTAGGACATTTTTCCTTTTGAGATTTTTTTTTAGATTAACTTATCAGCTTCACAGGTTTTACTAAGCAATACCCCCAACAACTAAATGCCTGGCCAAGAGTGCTCAACACTTTGTACTTTCATTGCATATTTCCAAGCACATGATCTAAGAGCAGCTATTAAGAAAGGGCTTCAAAAAGTTTGTGGATAAATGGAATTAAAAAATAATGGAATTCCCCACACTTTTTGAAGCCTCCTCAAACAGGTCATTACTGCCTGGTCTTGGCACAAGGGACTCCATTTTGAATCCGGTACCTTCTTGGTTCTCAGAACTCACCTCTCATGGGCCTCCCTCACATCAGCCTCCCCTCCCCTCGCTGAAAATCACCAGTTCTGAGAACCAGACATCCCCCCCGAGAAAGAATGTTCTTTGAAGATGTTTACTCCACCCGCCCCGTACCTATAGATAAGATTAACGTTCCTTGAAGATGTGTTTATTCCACCCGTCCCAGACCTATAGATAAGATTAATGAGCGCTTCCCTTTGAAGCCCCTGTGTGCAGCTGTGCCTGCCACCAGGGGATATAAAAACGCAGCCAGAAATTCCCCTCGCACAGCTTCACTGGCTCAATACCTGAGCTGCTGAACCCGCCCGCAAGCTTCTCAATAAAGCCTGCTTCTAAAACTTTACCAATTGGATCTTTAATTCCGTTTCGCGCCCCAAAACCCTTACAGTTACCTGGTTGGTTCATCTGTGCTAGAGCCAGGTGGCTTGTATTTAGACATGTCAAATGCTAAAACGGCCCTTTTTGCACATCCTAGTCTCTTAGAAGGTGCATTGATGGTGCAGTGGTTGTGTTCCACTGCAAACCAGGTCAGCTGTTCAAACCCACCACACTCCTTTGGAGAAAACTGTGGCCATCTGCTTCTGGAGAGTGCAGCCTTGGAAACGCTGAGGCAGTTCAACTTTGCTTTAAAGGGTCGGTAGGAATTAAGAGTTCACATAACGACAACAGGCTTTATTTTTAATTGAGACAGCACACCAGCAATTATGTTGCACTGCATAGATTTTGCAGATATAATTAATGTTACTAATTAGTTGACTTTGGCTAATCACAAGGGGAATTAAACTAAACTAATCCCTTTAGAACTGCCCTTTAAAAATTTTGTCTGGCTTATAGAAGTAAAGGGAGTCAAAAAATGCCAAACGTTAAGGATTTAATGCACCGTAACTAGCCTGAAGCTAAAGGAGCATATGTCAAGGAATGTGGGGCGGCCTAGGAACTGAGAACAGCCGACAGCCAGCAAGAAAACAGACCTCAGTCCTATGATCAAAGGATCTGAACTCTGCCAAGCTGAATGTATTTGAAAGTAGAATCCGCCCCCAAAGACACCAGTTGAAATAGCCTGGATTTCTAATCTGTAGAACTGTGATATAAGAAGCAGGTGTGGTTTTAAATGTCTCCATTTGTGGGAGCTTGTTAAATAGCAACCAAAGCTAGTATAATCATCATGTAGTAATGCTTTATTTGCAGGTTTTTACTGACCCCTGTAGGTTCTCCATGCCTTTCCCATTTCTAAATTTAACCGCTTTCTTTTCATTGTCTATTGCAATTTTGTCCAGAAAGATTCCACGCCAAATTAGTTTTTATATTTGAAAATAAGAGTAAACTAAAATACTAAGAAATCTTTGGATAGTAACCACCTTGTAACACAGCCCTTTTCTTTAGGAACAGTAAATCCACATGGAAAACTAAAGAAATACACTCAGCTGTGACTACAAAAAGGTTTGTGCTCATGCAGATAAATTTGTAAAAATCAAAAAGGCATACTACAAATAATAAAGTTGTGTTTGAATTCTCTAATGAGAACTCTGTCTCAACTTAGAAAACAAACCTGCACACCACATCAGAAAATTATTTTAATAGTTACAAAACATTTTTTACACAATCAGTATAAAATAGTAATTGATATCTCCGTAATTATCAGGATTATTCATGTTTGAGGTCTTGGCTAAGTGGGTCTGATATCAACAAAAGGTCTTGGACTGTTGGCTCAGAAATCACTCTAGGAAGCCCACCCTGTTGATGTCTGCCGTGCTTAGCTCTTGTGAGATGGCCCGGTCCTTTAAACACAGCATCTTTCTCTACTCGTTCTTTGGAGGCTTGAAGTGAATTCGGCAGCGTTCATTAAACACCTAATGCATTAAAACAGAAACAGAAGTCATGGACTCATCCTGTGTAAGGCAGGCCTGCACCTACATTAAACTTGGCATGGTTCAGGAGAACATGGCCATTTTGGTTAGGAAACCACCTCACGGGTTCCCTCATCGGCTCAAACGAGTTCACCAGTTGCTAAGTGTTATACTGGAGGTACAGTGGTTATGTACGGGGTCAGCACTTCGAAACCACCAGCCGCTCTTGTAGAGTCACAGCCTGGGAACCCCCAGGGCAGCCTCTCCCCTGTCCTATAGGGCTACGATGAGTCGGAATCAACTTGATGGCACAGAGTTTGGGTTTTTAAACTGCTTTTTAAACTCACTGCCATGAGTTAACTCCATTGGTTACTCACAGTAACCCAAAATAGGGATTCCGTGGTTGTGAATTTCTACAGCAGACAGCCTCAGCTTTCTCCTGAGAAGCAGCTGTGAGTTGGAACCACTGACCTTGGAGTTAGCAGTCTAAACGATTACCTGACAGTATGAAGACCTTGCTTGATATCCATTTGTAAGACAAAACTTTTAATTACTCAAGGAAAATTCATTAAGAGCCAGTTTACTCAGTCACTAGCAAACATTCCAATCCCATATTCTGAAGATAATTTGATTTTTTTTAAATCTAAAGTAAAATTTTGGTAAAACTGTTCTCACTTTTACAATACATTTATTTAGCTATTTGCTGTGCTTTTGAAAATGTGCAGCAGATCTTTTTCACAAGGGCAGAGTCGTGGGCATTCATTTAATGTTGCTGCTCTCTTTACCGTGCCTCCTAAAAAGCCACACCAGACACGTCACAGATGCTAAAGGACACTGCAGCTAAGCGCGTGTCAGCAGGGGACTAAGACGCTCTGCCACAGCCAGTCAGTCTCACAGTGCTGCCTTAAAAACAATTACGAGGGCGCTTCACATTCGGACTTGAAAATATGTTTAAGATCTATTAAAAGGAAAAACAAAGTATATGTGGCTTATTTCCATTTGTGTAAGAAATAAATACATATTTATTCTAAAAGTACAAACACCTGAAGGAATATATCATCCTTTCAGAGGGAAGGAAAAGTAACTGGTTTGAGGGGCAGAATTTTATGATATATCCTTTAATATTTAAAAAACAAAAAGGAGCCACATAACTAAACATTTAAGTGTGCAATTAAAACTTCTCCAAGTCTACAAAAATTTCTTCCCAGAATGCCCTTCATATTTCATGGGCCCTGGGCACTATGGGATAGGCACCAGGCTGCAAGTTGCAAGGTCTGTAACTTGAGCCCAGCAGGCACTCCATAGGAGAAAGAAGAGGCTACCAGCTCCCAGACAGACTCAGAAATCCCACACAGGGTAGCTGTGGGTCCGAATCTACTCAATGGCACTGGGTTTGGGTTTCCATTATTTCAACGAATAAATCCTTTTCCTTTTAGGCTGTTGTGGATGATCCGAAAATAAGGAAACATCTACCCAGGAATGTCTAATGTCTGTTCACGTTCTTAAGTTAGGTGGTAATAAGTGAAGGTTCATTTTCTTAACACATTAGACATTTATCAATCACAAAGAAATTCTGGGCTCCTCCGGGCCCTTTCCTTTGCTACTCCTTCACGCTAGTCCTGACCCTGACGTCTCGATGTAGCTCCCTCTGCTCAGTCCAGGAGACTGATATATGTGTCTTGGATGAGTCCCTCCAAATTATTTTCCTAAAGGATTTCTTCTTTACTTTGCTGGCCTATTTATTTCTTTTTAAAAAACAAGCAGAAGATTCACTTTCTGTGGGATAGGTATAAAATATTTTCTTCTAAAAGTAACAGCATATCCAAAAAGACTCCACTCCTGCTACCACAATACATTCTGCATGTACACAAACTAGGCTTTTCAAGCTAGAAAACGGCACCTGCAGCCCTTCTTGACCCCATCCCAACAGCAAACATTCTCTCTAAAGAAAATACAAAACTAATACTCTCAGAATCTTTCATCAAGTACCAAACACCTAATCGTGCTAGCAGAAAAGGGCAGGACTGGGTTATCTTGGCAAAAGAGGACTCAGTAAAGAACCATAAAAAAGCAAAGAATAATCTGTGTTTTGCAATTTGTTCATGCCAAGCAAGTTAGTATATTCTAGTTTTAAGTTCAGTTAATCTCTTTTATTATTTCAATAGATAAAAACAGACTTTTCAGTTTATCCCTTTCTGAGTTCATAGACTGTCTTTTGAAAATCTCTGAATTTTCAGAGGTGTATATGAATATACTTTCCCAGAAAAGTAACATTAAAAATTTGTGATTCCCGTTAGTGTAAAGTCCTGGATCTATTCCTTCAACCTGTTTCCTAATCAGAATTATGCAAGTGGGAATAAGGAGTGTGTGAACCTGCTAATAGTAAAACCTCTATCATCAGGTACAAGCACAGCTATGTATAATAAAAACTGTTCATGACCAAGTTATGTTAGAAGATAAGCAACTGTGAAAGAGTAATTGATATACAAATTTATGGAAAGTGACTGGGCTCAGAAAGGCTGATTTTAACCAATAACCCCCTGGAAGGCTCTCATTTAACTGGACTACAAGCTGGAATTATCAAGCATGCCCATCATTAGCTTGGGAAATCATGTGGAATGTGCCCCCACTCTATTATCAGGACAGGTGATACAATGCTGCATTTGACTGCAAAGCTAATTTCTAAAACAGAACTTTTTAGATGAGCATCTTTAGATAAAATAAGCCCACATATGCTCGGAACCACATGATCTGTATTCTTTAGCGCATCCGGGCACGCACTGCTCCTGCTCCTGGGGCGTCCCCTTGCTAGGTCCTAGTTCAGTTGCTAGCTTTCTCCAAACCCAGCATTGGCTGTACCTTCCAGCTCCTGTCATTTACTACTTCTTCAACATTCAGCTCTGACTGCATCCATTTCAACTGCAAGGAAGGAAAAAGAGGGATATTATGAAAATGTAGATTAATAGAGCGAAAACCAAGCCCCATCGTTTCCTAACAAAGCCAGCTGCTGTTTCTGCCTTTTTGTCTGGTACGGACATTGCCCTGCTGTATTTTAGAACCCTTTTTGACACACTTGCTCACTCCACAGCCAATCAATTGTTAAAGCTTATAGAGTAGTGGGTCTCAAACTGTTGTGATATATTATAATCCCCTGGAAAAGTAAACACAGACCCACTACCATAGGTGGACTCCACCTTACAGCAACCCTCCAGGGCAGAGAGGAACTGATGCTTTGGGTATCCGAGACTGTAAATCTTTCCAGAGTAGACAGCTTTAGCTTTCTTTCTTGGAGTGGCTAGTGGATTTGAACCATTAACCTTGAGGTTAGCAGGTCAATGCTTAACCCACCAAGCCACCAAGACATTCTTAATCACTTAGAGAGCTTTAAAAACAAATAAACCACCCAATACCCAGATAGACCAAAGTAGAAAGAATACAAATGGTCAATAAAGTAGACTCACAGTGACCCTAAAGCCCAGGGCAGAACTACCCCTGTGAGTTATGGAAACTATAACTCTTTATAGGAATAGAAAGCCCTCTTTCTTCAGCAGAGCAACTGGTGGTTTCAAACCGCAAACCTTGCAGCTAGCAGTCCAACATGTAACCGGGACTCCTAAAGGGTCAATATGCGTGTAAAAAAATATATGCAATCTTATGAATGTAGGACAGAATAAAAATTAAGCCATACTATGAAAGTTTAAAGCATAACACAGTCTGACAAAACCTAGTATTATGACAACACCTAGTGGGAAAAGATATTCACAGACATTCTTGGTAGGAGTATATATATTGTCACAACTTGAATGGAGGATCATTTTATGATGACTTAATCACGCAAGTAAATTCATGCCTTTGGGCCCAACAACTCCAGTTCCAGGAATTTACCCTATACCTACAGATCTCCAAAAACAGCACAGAGGAATTGGGAAAAAAAGCAAAGAGGTGGCAACCTGGTAAGAAAACCGAAGGGAAATGGGTGGAAAGGAGAGAGAAGAGACAAGCCCCTGGGGTGAAGACGAGCATTTACCACGCCTTGACCATCCTGCCAGAAGTCGAAGTCTTTCTAACCTAATAACCGCCAACTCAGTTACTCCAGCAGAAAAATAACCCGTTTTAACACTGGGCCCAGCTCCAAAAAAATAAATCTACCACCAATGAGCCACTTTTGACTCATAGCGACCCTGTAAGGCAGGGTAGAACTGCCCCTGTGAGTTTCCAAGACTGTAGCTCCTTATGGGAGTAAAGTCCTTCTGGTCTCCCATGGAGCAACTGGTGGTTTCGAACTATTCACCTTGTGGCTAGCAACCCAATGTGTGACCACTCTGCTAACAAGACTCCTTGAGGCCCAGCTGGTAGGTCTATAATGCAAGGGGACTTCAAAAATAAATGGAAAAACTCCAGTCTTTTCATTTCTGTTTTCCATGACCTTTTTGAAGACCCCTTGTACAACTAGTCACACACCTGGTCACAAAGGGCTTGAAAGAAAAGAAGCGGCCTAGCTCCAGGAAGAGAACTTGAAAATATACAGTAAAACCAGAAGACTTGGGAACAAAATGCCAGAGAGCCAGTTATGACCCGGTCAACGACGAATTTGGGACCCAGGTCAAAGAGCTCACCTGCCTAATGAGGAGCGCAGCTCAGGCAAGAAGGCTGAGAAATGTGCATGCAACACTAGGAGGAAGAATGAAACTCGGCACTCATCTGCTGAGTCTTCCTCAAGCCTCTTCACAGACTAGACCTGGTGTCAGGGAGTACGCTGCCACCTGGTGCTGTGCCCGAAGTACTGAGAGCCCACCTGCTTACTCTACAGCAACCCCAGTGTGATTGTAATCAGCTATCTATACGTAGAGCCAAATATCATTAAGGCGCCACAACTGTCACCGCCTGGACTGACTGCCAGCAAAGTAATGTCAGCAAAGAAGAGCGTGTGACAAGCCCTAAGACAGTCTTCATAACTGCCCCCAAATAGTTTAAAAGCTGTCATGTATTTAAAAAAAAGTTTAGACTTGTCCTATATAGCTCCAGAGAAGATTAAGGAGCAAGAAACGCATAGTAAATGCATATTGTCTATGGCCACACCAGCTGAACACGCCAGATCTTGTCTGATCTCGGAAGATAAGCAGGGCCAGCCTTGGATGGGAACCCGCCTGGGAATAGCAGGCGCTGCAGGATTTCATGTAGGAGCCCTAGTGGTGCTGTCAGGAAGTGCTGGACTGCTAACCACAAGTTCAGTGGTTCAGTCGTACCTGGAGAGAAGGATGAAGCTAACTGCTCCCACGAAGATTCAGTCTCTGCCCAGACTACCCTTGCAGGATCTCTTCTGATCTAAGAAGCTATGCAGGATTGGCCTGGTTAATACTTGACAGAGAGACCGCCTGGAATATCTGGTGCTATTGGTTTTTGGAGCCCTCATGGTATAGTGTATTACACAGGGGACTGCTAACCTCAGGTCGGTGGTTCAAACCCAGCACCTACCAAATGGTTCACAGAAGAAAAATGACACTTTCTGTTCCTGTGATAAAAGGAGTTCTGGGGGCGCTATTGGAATGCTAACTGCAAGATCAGTGGTTCAAACCCACCAGTCAAGCCCCAGGAGACAGAAGAGGCTTTCTGCTCCTGTGAAGATTTACAGCCTCAGAGTCAGAGTCAACTCTACGGCAGTGAATTTTCGCAATTTAGAACAGGATATCTGAACAATTTCAACGGTCCAAGAATGCACTGCCACACACACACACAAAAAGAGTTCCCCTAGCCCCTTAAGCAGTGCCTAGACAGAAAACAAAGGTGGAGAGAGGTCAGGCATACTGTACAGGGGTATGCATGCAGCAGATATGAGCTTCGAGACCTTTAGAAAGAAAGGAACTGCTAGTTGTACAAACCAACACAGAAGCTCTTACATACATCATACCAGTTTTTCCTAACCCCCCAAAATCTAAAACTATAACAACTCCACTGCTGTCGCATAAATTCTTACTCTGTGACTGAGATGTAGTCAATTAATATGGCCCTTCCAGCCATTATCACTGATTTGCTGTGTTATATAAATGCCAGTATTAAATAATCCATTTTGGAGGGAGTTCTCTGCTAACGGGCAGGATTATGATGGGATGTATTCTTAGTCTCCATCTAAGTAACAGGATGTGACCCAGTGACCACCTATGGTTTCCTTGGGGAGCAGTCTGCTGAAAGACAAACAGCACAGCTCCATTAAGCCATTCTTTGGGTACAGGAGCCATCTCAGAAGCAGGAACAGAGAAAGCCCATCAGACCAGGACCATCAGAAGAGCCCGCAGGGAACACATCTGAAACCCCTGTCTAAAGCGGCAGAGGCAAGACCAGGGGCACCAGAGGGTGCAGCATGGAGACCACAGGGCAGAGCAACAGAGCCAGGCCAGGTAGAGGCTGAGGTAGAGACCAAAGGAGAAAGCAAGAGGAGAGTGCCGAGACTATGAGAGTGAGAGGCAGGCTTCTTGGTCCATGGAGGCAGAGGCCAAGTGCACACATACCAGAGAGTGAGTCTTGCCTGGGGTCCAGTGACTCTATCCTTACTATTTACTGATCCTGACTTGTGGCATCCTGTTAACTTCTCTAATAAGCCAAAATCACTGCCATTGAGTCCACTCTGACTCACAGTGAACCTACAGGACAGGATAGAACTGGCCCTGTGAGTTTCTGAGACGGTAAGTCTTTACGGGTACAAAGCCCTACTTTTCTCCCATGGCCTGACTGGTGATTTCAAAATGCTGACTGTGTAATCATTCTAATTACTGTCTATGAGTTCTATGCGGCCGTGGGGAGGAATGAACAGTGTCAGAACAGGGTGGAAGAAGGATAGAGGGTGGAAGCATGGCAATAGGGAAGCCAGAGGTCAGATATGGAGTCCCGGCTATTTCCACAGGACAGCGAACTGCCCCATGAGGCTTCCCAGACTGCTGCATCTGTCTGCCATGGGGCAGCTGGTGGGTTTGAACTGCCAACCTTTCAATTCCAAGTCAAGTGTCAAATCACTGAGCAACCAGGGCTCCAAAAACAAAACCTAAGCAGTCACCGATTCCATTTTACAGCTGGAAAATCAGGAGCTTCAGGGCAATTCTTTCAAAGCTATCAAATGGTGAGCGGGATTTATTTCCTCAGAGCTGCCTGCCTTTATAATCCACCGCCTACTATAGAACACTGAGAGTACTGAGCCAACGTCTAATGCAGTTTCACCAGTGCCAACAAACTCCCCACTAAGACGGCGGTTCTGAGGCCTTTGCATCTTCAACAAGTCCCCATCTTCTCAAACCCACCAAAAAGCCACAGCAAGGAAGGCGCGCTCTCTGAGTTGTAGACACTGAGGAACAAAACAAGTGATTTTTAGACTGACATCTCTGTAAACAAAGAAGTTCGCTAACGTCGTCAGAATTTGATGATCAGTCGCATGTTACATCAAGATGCTGACTGACTGCAGAGAGGAAGAGACAGGTTAAAGCTCCAGTTCTACCACATACGAGCTCGGGACTTCCTGATGTTGGTACAGAGCCTGTGTCCCCATATACAAGATGCAGAGGTAGACTGAAACATCCTTTCAAACTATCTCTGATTCCTTAATTTTAACTTAAAAAAAACAACAAAACAAGCACATATTTCCCTCTTGGCTTACACACTACTCTGGGGTTGCCTTCCAGCGCAATACAAAATCAGGATGGAAAGCTTTAAAGGACTGGGTCTTCAGATAACACACCCACTGGGTTCTAAAACTCCTCCTTGCTGTGGCTACTTGGTGAGTGATTCTCCCTAGGCAGAAGATGTGTGTGACACAATCACGCCCCCAAACCCGGGCATTCAGATTGCTGACCTTTGTTCTCCACTGTGTTTGACTCATTTCTGTTTGACATCAACTTGCAAAGAGTGATTTTTTTTATCAGTTCAACAGCTCAGCCCTGAATTTCCCTTGTCAACACATTCAAGAATTAAAAACAAAGTTTAATTCTGCTTCTGAATGAAAAATAAGCGAGACAGCCAGCGAGACAAGAGGAAGCGGCATCCTGGGGCAGTGAAGCAATGGGAGGCTGAGAGAGGGCAGCAGTCTGCAAGCAGCCACGGGGACAGCGGTTCTCAAAGGCTTGAGGGAGACACCAATGAGGAGGTCCCCTAAAGCTTGGGCTTTCAGCAACTGGCTACATCTGCTAAGCAAAGAGAGGAGCCCTGGTGGAGTAATAGTTACACGTTGGGCTGCAATCTGCACGGTTGGCAGTGCCACCAGCAGCTCCGTGGGAGCAAGCCTGAGTGTTCTACTCCCATAAACATCACTGTCTCAGAAACCCACAGGGTGTCACTCTGAGTCAGCACCGACTCGATGACGCTGAGTCTGGTTTTTCGGTTTACGAAGCAAAGAGCAAAGTTCGTGACTGGGCTACATGCCACACTGGGTGCTCGGTCCCTCGGACACACAAGGACCCCTTAAAATACAGACACGATTTTGATAATTGTACAATGATCAATGAAGAAAAAGCCCCAGTTTTTAAGAGGTAACCAAGTATTGAGAGGCAAAGGAATAACTAATATGTGTCCAACACACTCTCAAGAAATGATTCAGGGAAAAAGCATGTCTGTGGAAAGAAAAGGAGAGAGAAAACATGAATGAATTATAAAGCTGGTGGACAAACTAAACAGCAGCTGAATACAGGGAAAATCAGCTTTCCTTTCAGTTCAAAATGATATCAGACTCGTACATTTTGATATACTATCAACGGGATTGCTAAGCATCCCCTCAAAGAAAATCTGCAATGCAGGCCACGTAACGAAAGACACCTGCAGGGTAGCTGCTTGGCATGTCACACACCACAGCTGCAGAGACAGCTCTGCTGCATTTACGACCTCCGAGGTGCACAGCAACATCATAGCTACATCACACCTAATGATGACGCTGCAGGAATGGGAGGGTAAAATGGACAGCAACGGGTGTCCAAAAGGAACCCAAAAGACCCATAGTGACCTTCACACAGGAGGCCGGTGGGCCCTCCCTGCTGGCATAGCGGGCTATGCACTAAGTCAGCTGCTCAAGACCACCCGGCGACCCCGGAGAAAGACGGGCTTTCTGCTCCCATAAAGGGCTAGTCTCGGCAGTTCTATTCTGTCCTCTAGGAAGCAACCACATGGAAATGAGGTAGAGTTTATCGCATCAGATTTCAAATACAGCCACTAGAGGTAAAACATACACATTTTAAACTAATGACCATATCTGACTCTAAAGTTTTCATGTTAAAAATTGTCTTTATTTTGCTGCCTAAACTTAGAAAAACTTTGCTTCAGAAATGAAAATTCTATTCAACTTACCTTTGTCTGTTCTTTTCTAAGTTGCTTTAATAACGTTAAATCGTCCAAATTCTTTTCTCTCTCTTCTCGGAGGTTTGTTACGACTGCCGAGGTCTGAGCTATACAGTTTTTTATGACTCGGTCTCTACTGGAATGAGCGGCCATCAACTACAACAAACACACAAGGGAATGAAAAGGAAATAAAATCACATCAATGTTGTGCATTTTAGTATATTTTGAGCACCTATAGACTTAAACAAAGTTCATAAATTGAATCTACGGAAGAAAAGATTATGCTCAGTCCGCTAACCACTTAAAATCAGACGCGGGCCAAGCACATGGCGGTGCACACTAGGAAGTTAGGCTGTCTTCATCGTCAGTGTACTTCCACGGAGTGCCGGCCACGCTCATGCCAGTCCCTCAGTCTGGCTCTTCATTTCTGTCACGTTCATCCTGCATCCCTTTCCTTCTCCATCGCTCCACCCACTTTCCCATGCCCCACTGCACCCTCACCATGGGCTGGGCCGTTCCACAGCATTATTCTTCCTCTCCTTTTGTCCCTTCAAATCTTTTCAGTCTCATACTGTCAGCAAATGAAATACTGCATTCAGTGATGACGACCTTTTGATTGTAGTAAGACAAAGAATGCTACATTTGCCTCTCTAAATTGCAAAATCCTACACTTTATCTATTACAATACTCATATAGATGTCCTTCACAAGGCTAAGAAAAAGTTACATAAACAGCACAGATTTGGTTTCTGTGTGTACTGGGGGACAGTCAGGATATCTGCTAGAACAACTGTAATAAGCTCACAGTAAGGCTCTAACACCACAGTTCTACTTGTTACCTTGAGGCACACCAAGCAAGGATGTTCACATTTGAAAGACACACCGGAGAAAGTTTATTGTGCCAGCCTGGCCGATATACACAAGTAGGATTAACTGAAGGGCAGAGAGATAAATGGCTCGGTGAGCCTCGTCTTTCTTGTCTCTCGCTCTTTGATCATCGGACCAGTGTGCGGCTGCCTTGCTTGTTCTGTGCCTCAATTTAAAGGCTACACTACCTGTGGGACG